GGGGAAAGTGGGGGGGGGGGGTAAGGGCAGAGGGTGGGGTGGGAACTGGGTGGAGGGGAGCTATGGGGGGAAAAAAGGGGAACAACTGTAATAATCTGAACAATAAAGATTTATTTAAAAAAAGAAAAAATATAAAAAACTGAACAAAATAATTATGGAAGTTGGTCTAATGAACATGTATAGAACAAACCAAACAAACTGCTTAAGCCTCACTGTTGAAGCCCTAACCCCCAACGTGCCTGTATAGTAGTCCCCCCCTTATCTGAGGGGGATATGTTCCAAGACCCCCAGTAGATGCCTGAAACTACTGATAGTATCAAACCCTATATATGTCTTTTTTCCTATACATACATATCTTTGATAAAGTTTAACTTAAAATTAGGAACAGTAAGAGAGTAACAATAACTAGTAATAAAGTAAGACAACTATAACAATACATGATAATAAAAGTTATGTGAATGTGGTCTCCCTAGCTCTGATAACCAAACTGATCATTGTGATGGCCACTAAGTGATTAACAGGTGGGTAGCGTATACAGCATGGATATGCTGGATCAGGGGGTGATTCATGTCCTGGAATGGAGTGGGATGGTGCCAGATTTCATCACGCTCCTCAGAATGGCGTGCCATTGAACACTTAGGAATTGTTTATTTTTGGAATTTTCCATTAAATATTTTTGAACCTTGGTTGACTTCGGGTAACTGAAACCACCAGAAAGCAAAACCACGAATAAGGTGAGGCTACTGTATTTGGAGACTGGCCCTTTAAAGATGGTATTAATGTTAAATTGGGTCATAAGGTTGGGGTCCTAAACCAGGAAGACTGGTATTCTTAAACGAAGAGGGAGGGGCCTCAGGGATGCTCGCACACAGAGGAAAGGCCAGGTGGGGAGGTGGCCACCTGCAAGCCGAGGAGAGAGGCCTCAGGAGAAAGCAGACACACCAGCATCTTGATCTTGGACTGCCAGCCTCCGGAACTGTGAGACACGAGTTCCCGTTGTGTAAGCCTCGCCCCCACCCCAGTTTATGATATTTTGTTATGGCAGCCCCAGCAAACTAAGTTAAACACACTCAGATTTCGGTACCATAGTGGGGTGCTAATGTAACAAATAGTGAAAAATGTGGAAGTGGTTTTGCAACTGGGTCATGGGTAGAGGCTGGGAGAGTTTTGAGGTGCACATTGGAAAAAGCCGAGACTGCCTTGAAAAGACTGTTGGTAGGAATGTGGATGTTCCAGGTGATTCTGGGGAGATCTCAGGTGGGAAGGAGGAACGTCTTATTGGAAACTGAAGGGAAGGTGATCCTTGGTATAAAGAGGCAAAGAATTGCAAAACCACAGAACTGTCATTCACCTATGAAAATTACTAAACATTCCATAATGTCAGTATTCAGTCTGGGTTCAGATTTCCCCACTGTCCCTTACATGTCTTTTTATAAATAACTAGTTTGGATCAAAAGCCTGTAGAAATCCCCATGTAGAAAAAACAAAAACAAAAAAAAGAGAGGCAACGAGCATGGTTGAATCTCGTTCTAGTGTTTTTCGGAAAGTAGAAGTTAAAAGTGATGAACTTGGGTATTTAGCTGAGGAGATTTCAATGTAAAGTGTTAGAGATGTAATCTGGTTTCTCCTTTCTGCTTAGAGTAAAATGAGGAGAGAGAAGAGCAATAAATAGAAGAAACTGTTAAAAATTGAAGATTTGAAAAATTCTCAGCGTATGCAGGTTGCAGGAAGCGAGAAAGCACATTCTGGAGAGAATTCCAAGAGTAGGGCTGTAAATCTTTTGATAAAGAGGGCTTGGTTGTGACTGATTTCAGGTTTTAGGTTAGGAATTGTGCAAACGAGCCTGGAACATCTTGTCATAACAATAAAAGATGTCAAAGTCAACTGGGTCAAGTTCAAAGGACTCAGGAGCCAACTTGAAGAGCCGTTCGCTGGTGGCCAAAGACGGGACAATTCAAGCTTCACTGAGGAGAATAAGTTGCAACAGATTGAAACCATCAGACACCTTCAAATACTTGAGTTCATAATAATAATAAAAAGATAAATGAATCAATCACAATTTGGGAGGCAACAGAGAACCAAATCATTATCTTGAAAACTTGCAAATAAAAGGGGAAAAAAATCAAGCGTGGATCCTGTCTTGCCGATTTGAAAAGTACCTCTGAAGATCAAATACTATAAAGAAAGCATCTCTTTATAAAATAATTCCCACTACAAAATAAGAAATAGTACCATTAGAATAGTACCATTTTGCAATTCTCGCAGGTGTTTAAACAGTGTAAACGAGAAGGACACTATTGTAAAGGTCCAGAGGGTGG